GATGATGATGATGATGATGATGATGATGATGATGATGATGATGATGATGTGATTACAGAGATGGGTTAACCCTATATAGGATTACTGGCCCACCATTGATTCAATAGCCTGAATCCCGAACAGCCCTTCTTTTACAAAGAACTTTAGACTTGAGTGACATTGAACAACAAGATGAGAGGCCTCAATATAGGCCTGTCACGATGTCGTGTAAACGTTTGTGAACGTTCAACGGGCCTCTCTGACCGGATTCACAGCCTTGCGCAGCCTTTGTCTCGGCGCCCGATGGCGAACTCTGCCTCTTCGATCGATTACGATCTGGGTTGCCCTTCTGGTATGACTCTGGCTTCCAAATTCCAAAGTCCTGATTTCAGGTCATGATGTCCGGTCAGTTTTGTTCACCTTTTACCATCAGGCTTTGGTTCAGAACGAGACTGGGCACCACTGACTGAGAACCCCACCATGATACACTGACTGAGAAGGGCCACCACCTTTCTCACACCAACTGGGCATCCGCACATTCTACGATGCCCTCCCACGGCAGCGCCACCCTCAGAAGCTAGCTGCGAGAAGGCAGAGTGGGCATTGTCGCTTCTGGAACTGAACCCAGATTGATGTGCTGGCTTCCAACCCACCTGGGACTCATTTGTTTTGACATGTTTTCTTGTAAACTGGGCCTCATGTGCCCAGCTTGCTCCAACAAAAACAGGACCGTGGAATCCCACTGAATCACAGGGGGGGGGCGGGCGCACCTGAGTAAAACACTGGGAAAAACGCGAGGTCGGACAAAAACACGATAGATGATCACCGAAACCGTCACATTCCCGTACGATTGAAGCATATCAAAACCCGTACGATTGAGCTCCCGATGCTCAGATGGATCCATCCATCCTTCGTTCATCTTCTGTTCCCTCCTCATGGGCATACCGTTTTCTAGGCGTACCGTCGAGAGAGCTGCGTGGTGGACGTTCCTTACAGTGAGGGCATACTGTTCTTCTTTCTTCAGTATGGACAGGTTGCTTGGCAGGCCCAGCACTAGACCTCCATGTTCTGATGAGTGTCTTAAAAGGAGAATCCCTACTCATGGAAGAATGCAGGTCCCATGCAGGGACCAATGGAGGTCCCATGGAGGTCCCATCGACCAACCGGACAGTCCGGTCGGCTCGGCCGGTGACCTGGGACATCGAACCTATCGGTCTTCCATCGGTCGAAGCTCCACGTGACCCGGTGGTCGTTGGACCGTCCAAGCTCGGGGCTGGGCTGGGCTTGGCTTGGTCGGTCCAAGCCGGTCCCACCGGGGATTTTGCGCTGGACGTCGTCCTGGGCTTCCCAGGGGCCCAGGGGGTATAGAACTGGAGGTATGATGTGTGATCTATAAATCTGCATGTTTGTTTCACCCCTTATATAACTGTCCACATGCTTGGCACACTGGGTGTCGCGAGCCATTGTAGCCTGCCCCCCTTGCAGCCCCTGCCCCTTGCAGCCCTGTCACACTTGAGGCTTCAATTGCCGCCATGTGGGCATCAGCACGTGATCCGCGTAGTTTCTACGTCCACGTGGAGCCACTTTGGGGAAAGGGGGCTTAGGACACCCAGTTGGCTCCACGTTGCCAAACGAGACATCCAATCTCTTGCAGCCCATCAATGGGGTCCACCCATGAAATGCAATTGTCGACCTTCCCTGTATATCCTCAGTGCTATATGGTGTTCAAAGGCTTTCTGTTTGCCCCCCCAAAAAAAATCGCCGTTTGAGGTCTCTTTATGGCCCCTTTTCACTGCTGGTGGCCGTACTTGACCCGAAGCTGCTCCGAATCACCCGTTTGGTCTCTCAAGCAGGTCAGCTCTAAACATGATGAAACCAAAACCACATGAAACAGCCAGTGACCTTCTGTATGTGGTTTCCTCTCCACACTTGATCTTTGAGCCAACAAATGACACTGGCAACTTCTGCCAAGGGTAGATATTCATCCGAAAATGGTGAATGGTCAACACTTTTTCATTGGATGGTGTACCTGTGCTCATTCACATTGGGCAGGAATATGATTGATTCTGTCAAATTCCCTCTGTCACACATCTTCAAGAACACACCCAATCATTTGGTTTTGTGATTCCAACTATTTCTAGAACCAGCGAACCCATGCATTCCACTGCCTTCGCAGACCAACCTTTGGCATCCGTCACCGGTGTTCGTGAAACGAAGAGACGTGGCATCAAGTGGCAAACATGTGGATGCGTCTTTTGTAAATTTGAGAAAGGAACTGTTCAAGAACTATGCTTTAAAGGTTTGATGACTCCCTCAATTTCCCTGGAATTTGAAGGTCGACCTTTCTCCACCTGTTCTTGTTTACTGGCGATACCAATTCAACAAAGGTTAACAGGTTATCAACTGAGTGGTTAGGAATAATGGCAACCCATATGATTTCAGCATCTTTCGCCTTTCTTGGAGGTTCTCCCAAGTATTCTAATGCACGCCCATGTGAATGAAAACAGCGGTATGGATGTGGATTGAACTGCGGCATTGCAAGAGGTTGTTTTGAAGAAAAGCGTTTCAACTATTTTCCTCGTATGGACTTTTCGGTTGCGATCTTTGCTTGTTGCGATCGAAGCCCGTCCGCTCAGAGGAGTCGACGCTGCCCGAGGAGTCCGTGCCCTTTTTCGCGCGCAGGACGCGCCCGGCTCGCTGTCCTTGGCTGGTAAATTTGGCGGTGCAGCGGAGCGGGAATCTTGGACACACCAGTTGTGGTGTCGTCTTGGCTCAAGTAGCAGCATGTAGCAGCAGTAGGAGTAGCAGCAGTAGGAGTAGTAGTAGTAGTCGTCGTCGTCGTCGTGGTGATACTGGCAAAGAAGTAATGGTAGTGGTAGCAATTAATTATTGTTGTAATAAAAGCATCAGCATCAACAGCAGCAGCAGCAGCAACAGTAGTATATAGTGGTGGTGGTGGTTGTGGTGGTGATGGTGGTGGTGGTGGTCGTCGTAGTAGTAGTAGCAGCAGCAGCAGTAGGAGTAGTAGTAGTAGTAGGAGCAGCAGCAGCAGCGGCGGCAGCAGCAGCAGCAGTAGTAGTAGCAGCAGCAGCAACAGCAGCAACAGGAACAGGAACAGCAACAGCAGCAATAGCAGTAGCAGTATCAGTAGCAGTAGCAGCAGCAGTAGCAGCAGCAGCATCATTAGTAGGAGCCAACCTTCCACTATGATTGACGCTAATTCTTTTGGTGGGCCCTGTCAACACCATCGGGCATGCCATGAGCCATGAGTGTGTCGGAGCTGGAGTCGATCCTGGTTTGCTCGTGTGTGTGTGTGTGTGTTTGTGTGTGTGTCTAGGTTCAGGGGGTTGTCTAGCTTCAGCGGTTGTTTCAGTGTGTGGAGGCGTTGTCCAGGTTTAGTGGGGCACACGCTGTGAGCAAGCAACACGCGGCGCGAGCCAAACTTGAGCTCGAACTCCCGAGTAAGATAGATTAGACAGATGGGTGTCAGAAAACCTGGTCAACCACTGCTGAGCCCAAAAGTCTCTTCAGGGCATGTTCTGACACAACGACGGGCTTTACCCCTTGGCTATGCCTGACGTCCTCCCTTTTGAAGGCCGGGAGGCGCGAGGACGCAGAGCAGGCCAGGAGGCGCACTTCACAGGAAACACCTGAGCACGACATCAGCCGGGAGGACGGAGAGAAGAAAAAAGAGAACGCGGCGCCAGAAAACCAAACCGCGCAGCTTCTGTTTGTCGCGTTTGTTTCTCGAAAGCGTGTTCGAGTGGTCTTCGCACGTCCTTCTCAAATAAAAAGGCAAAGGAAAGACCCGCCGCGCAGGCGCCGGTCCATCCCACTTCCCTCGGTGGGCACCGGTCGAGGTCGGGGAAGATCTCGCGCAGGCGCCGGAAGGCGCGGCGTGGAGGGGCCTGGCGCGAGAGCGTAGCGATGGGCAGCGGCGTTCGTGGCGCGGCACTTTTCGAGCCCCAAAGGCCAAACGCTGGTGATGATCAATCAAACAAAAGTGGAACCTTTCCTCAATCTATGGTGACAGGATCCAGGATTTCAATGCCTTTCAACCATGCAGGAGTTCGATGGATTTCTTCTCTTCCCTTTGCTTACAGTGGCTTACAGGTGCTCAAGCATGCGACCACGGTGGCTGATGGTCGATGGGCTTTGCAGTGTCCTAGCCCTTCCTGGAAGTAGAAGCCCTGTTTGTAGATCTATATGTGCTCAAAGTCCAGTCCCAAACAACTCTTCCACCGAACCTCCACCATGATTTCTGGATGAGAAGTCAGAATAACTCTAAGACATTGGACTTCTGGAAAGAAAACCCCCTCGTAAAGTTCGGTGAAGAAAAAGCTGTTGCCAGCTGTTGCCAAGTACCATACAAGCTTGCTTATGAAACATAAATGTGATCATATGTGATATATATATATATTGTGTTTTTCATTGCCAGCACTGGACAAGCTTGGTTCATGGATCATTCCCCTCATCCCTCCCATTCCCCCCATCCCTCGAAGAAAACACGTCGAACCCGCCTGACCCGACTCTCGCATCAGGGCGACCTGCACCCAGCGCCGGTCGCCGACCGTCGTTCGGGAACACCCGTGGTGGGTATTCAGAACATCCGTCGGTTACCGGTCAACGTCTCAATTCATCAATTTTTCTGGGTTTGCAGGGGAGTACTCCCTGAAATGATCGTGATAGGGAATTTGAAGAACTCCACGCGGTCTCAAACCAAGTGCTCACGATGAACGTGACAGCCATGAGCGGCTCTGATTCCATCACCTTAAGAGGAACCGATGGATCAAGAGATCATTGTGACCGTCAGTGAAAGGGTTTGGCGACCCAACGAGCAAACCTATAGATGCCTGTGAACTCAATACCTGGTACATAACCATGCTGTTGGGACCCCAACGAAAACACAGCTATACAGGCTATACATGCTAAATACAGAATTTGGACTCCGCCCCCACTTCTTTGCGGTCCATCCCTGCATTGATCCATGTGTTTTCGAGCTCCTCTGGCCATCGACGCAGGGCACCGAATCGATGATCCCCCGCGCCTCCAAGTGCTCCTGAAAGAAGCCGTTCCTCACCACCGGCCGTTCCCGGCCACGGGGGGAGAACTGCCACGGGGGTCGGCCACTCCGTCCGAACAAGAAAAGAAAGACCCCCAACATGCCGGGCGTGGAAGAAAAACGCAGGGTTCCTGCTTATATAGGTCTAATGAATTTTCAGGACATGACCTTCCAAGAAGATCCTTTTTATAGTGTTCATGTTCTATTAAAGCAGTGAAACATGCCCGCTAGTACCTCAACCGCGTAACCCCACGTAACCCCCGCGTTCCATCCCCGCGTACTCCGGGCGTGGCCATCCAGAGGTCCATGGATCCCCGGCTGAAACCAGTTCCTCATCCTCGAGCTGCTGAAGCCCATCTGAACGAGTGAAGAGCAGTCGCCCGACCCGCGACTTGCGACTCGTGGAGCGGGAGGGGTCGTCGACTCCGCCTTCGGAACCATGTCCGGACGTCGGATCCGGTGAGGATCGCAAGTATGACGGGGAATCCGGTGAAGATCAGTGAAGAACCAGTTGAAGGTGCTCAATTTCTTCCATTTCGCTCCCCCCCCAACAACACAAAAACAAAAAGCGCGCACGCACACACGTCACATAGAGACTTCGTCGGTGTGTGTGGCAAGTTTCAAGCCCTCAAGAAAACAACCCTCCACACCAAGGCAACCCTCCCATAACCCAAACACTCCATGTGCCAATTACCTACATTAGGGTGGTTTTGGGGGTCAATGTACGCATACACTCCATACATGGAGCGTCTGGGATATAAAAAGCTTCCCTCCCCCCAGCAAACATTCATTGTGAAACCTCCAAAGGGCGTGAAATTAAATCAAGAGCCTACATGAATGACAACCACTGGAGGCGACGCATGGCAACCCTCCACGTCCAATCGACCTTCTGCATCTGAGTCCGGCTTCCGACCGCTGACTCCGGGGATCCATCGGAGGTTCGGCGGTCAATGCTGGTGGTTTGGAGTCATGAAACATGTTTTTGCTTGCAACATCCTGCAACTCCTGCAACATCCTGCAACTACTGTACAGGACCCATTTAATCCAGACCTTGTGTAGTTACTGGTTAGTTGGATGGTATGTTCGTCTGTGACACATTTTACCCTCCCTCCAACTGCCCATTGGAAGTGGACAACAACCCTGTGTTTGGAAAGGAAATCTCTTCCCAGGGCCGTGTCAGATTCTAAGTCTAACCAACAAAAAAACAAGAGGCGGGGCCACCCAACCAGCGACGCAGTTTTCTGCGACGCAGTTTTCTGCAAAAACATGGTGCTGAAAATGAGAGTTGTTTGTTTGGAGTTTGGCCAAATCCGGCTGCAATTTGGAGCACAACATCATTCAGTTGTCCGCCGTCCAAACAATCATGAGCATGAGAGGATCAAATCCATTTGTTGTCCATACGCAATGCCTCCCTCAGTGCCTCCGGGATTCCATGGTCAAATGGGTTGAACATCTGCCTGTAGATCTGTAACTGGGAACCCTGTGCCTGAATGTTGCCGCGGGGGTCGATGTAAGCCCATTGGCGGCCATCTGGCAGCTGCTGGCACAAACGGGTTCTGTCATGGCTAGTTGCAAACATCAGGAAGTGCCATTTTGAGATAGAGGTCCCCAACTAGATAGAATCAAATCCATGTCAAGACATTTTAGAGAAGGTGTGTTTGTCCATCTATTTTGGTGCACGACATATTTGATCACATTTGTAAAAGCAAATCGATTCTACAACCACACCTTTCTGTACCCAAACTTGCATGACCAATCTTATTGCCGAACTTGCGCCATGCAAGCCCCTGCTACATGGGTGTGGGCCCAAACCAAAGGTCCTGAATTCCCGGTCGCAACTTCGCACAGTCCTTCACAGAAAAGGGGCCTTCTGATATCGGTGGAGCCTGCTGAAATTACAATGCCGCCAAACTTTTCCTGCATGAAATGATTGATGCTTTCACTGCAGCCGCAACCTTCGTTCTCAACGTTCTAAAGACCTTTGGATAGCCTACACGCGCCTCCACCAGAACCTACGCTGAAATAAGAAGATGCTATGTTTCCATATTTTTTCCCGGCTGCATCTTTGTGTTGGGCTTTTCCTTGGGTCAGCCCCAACACTCCCCCGTGCCCGGCCAAGCCGGGCATGCCACGATCCGTCGGCTTCACGCCTGTCATTTCCCGCCCTTCGCGGCCTGGCCACTCCGGTGGGAGCAGGCTGGGCTGACACGCTCATGTTGGCCTTTTTCGCTGCCACAGATGGAACTCCCAAGGCCTCCCCTGCTGAAGAGATGCAAACTAAAGTGATTGCTTGCACTTTTGAGTTGGGTACCAGGGAAAGTGAAAGCCTCGGCTGAGGAAGTGGCAGCGGACGGCGTGGGAAACCAGCTCCACAGTGCTCAAACGCTGTGGCTCAAAGATGTTCACCTTACGTCCCTCAGGCACAGAAAGAAGGCCAATTCGTTTCATTTCCTGCGCACCCCAAGAAGTTATACCGGGCCCTACGTGAATTTGGGCGTCCCTGTGTGTTGATGTGGCAACAAAGCACCAAACATGAAACCAGTTCAACTTTTTTGGCAGACCAATTTGTTGGCGTGTCGACCAAACAAAGCAGGTGCATTGATAATGCAAATGATGGCTGTTGAGCGGTGTCATGCAATTGATCTATATTCGATATTCCGTATATGGTCTGACGCCAGAGGAGATGGCTTATCTAAAGAATTACAATCAAATATATTGTACAGTGTTACAATACTAGTATATAGATGTATATAGCATGATACAACCTCTAGTCGAAGAAGCAAAAAGGCCTGTCCCCGCTGTCTAGACACTTTCCCCTAGACCGAGACCCCAGGGTGGTGGTTGATGACCAGAGCGGTCATCCTCCCCGACCGATGAAACCCACCGACCCAGAAGTTTGCCAGGACCAGCGCTTGAGCGGGTTTAGAGCCCTTTGGACCATGTGGAGCTGCACTTTCCATTGCTGCAGAGCCGATGTGAGTTGCTGCAGTGGATTCCGAAAGCGAATCCCTCATGCGTTTTCCCAACTAGACATAGCATCCACTTTGGCAGGTGGGGTGAACCCTTACAGTTTGAACACTGGATCCCAGCCCCACTTAGGCCCCTTCTGGTTGCCTACGGTGCTAAGTTGGCCCGGTCACGAGCTGTGCACAGAGCTTCTCAAAGGGTTCCACATGTCACAGTTCCCCTCTGCAGAAACAGACTGAGAAAATTGCTGTACGTGATGAGGAAAAGTCGCAGTTGCCACGGTAGCTGGGTGGCCAGACTCGCCCGTCGGCTCGATGTTAATTACTAACATGTTACTACATGTTGCTACATGTACACAGTAAATAGCTTGGTTTCGTCCCACCCCCCGTTCTGCCTTTGGACGCACCTTTGGACGCACCTGGCCATCCCGGCAGACCAACAGGACGTGGAATCGGCGGCACGAGTGTTGCGTGGAACAGGCTCACGTGAAAAACCTCCCGACAAAGGCCGACACATGGAACACATGCGTCAGACTCGAATCCATACGAAAAGACCTTATATCACAAACTCCTGTGTGTGTGTGTGACACGGCTTGTTTGCGTCTTTTCCCTTTTGTGGGACGCTGCGCAGCTTGAAGATTTTTATGAACCCATGCCCTACCCAAATTGCTTGAGGAATCGGATTCTCAAACCACCACGGGCCCCGGCGCCGGTCGACCCCGGCAGCACCCGCCACGGGCCCGGTCGTTCGCCGTTCGGAGCGATCGCTGCTAAGGACGGATCGCTGCTAAGGACGGGTCGTCCGGAGGGTCGAGTCGAGGTTGGATGGAGAGCTGCCTTGAACGACAAAGAAAACAAGGTTAAACAAAAAAGAGGTGAACAAGTGGCAGAACATCGTTCGAACATCCACATGTTGGTTCAGTGGTTTAAAAGCGGAGCCCAAGAAAAAATGCAGGGATTGGTGCCATCGAACCTCTGCAACCACTGTAAGAATGTCCAATTCTTTCGATGCTCAGAAGGGTCTTGGGTGTGTTATGGTGTGTTCTAGAATGTAGACGGTTGATGAATCAAACCATGTTGGATGGGATTCTGCCCCACCTCCCAGACCATCCATGGGACCTCTCTTTTTTGAAAGGCCAGGGGGGTGGTGACGGGGTCCATGACATGGGTCATCTTAGGACCCGAACCCTCCTCAATAGCTCAACACATATACCAGGACCCTCCGATAGGGGAACTCATATTTTTCTAGGATTTTTTTTCGTTCTTTTTTTTTGAATTTTTTTCACGTTTAGGCATTAGGTATCTCTGTTGGCTTCTGGTGGCTTCTGGTAGCTTTTGCTAGCTTCTGTTGGCTTTTGCTGGCTTCCGGTGGCTTTTACTGGCTTTTGGTGGCTTTTGTTGGCTTCTGTTGGATTTTGGTGGCTTCTGGTGGCTTCTGGTGGCTTTTGTGGCTTTTGGTGGCTTCTGGTGGCTATTTTGTTGGCTTCTGGTGGCTATTTTGTTGGCCTCTGGTGGCTTTTGGTGGCTTCTGGTAGCTTTTGCTAGCTTCTGTTGGCTTTTGCTGGCTTTTGTTGGCTTCTGGTGGCTTCTGGTAGCTTTTGCTAGCTTCTGGCGGCTTTTGCTGGCTTCTGGTGGCTTTTACTCGCTTTTGGTGGCTTTTGTTGGCTTCTGTGGGATTTTGGTGGCTTCTGGTGGCTTTTGTTGGCTTCTGGTGGCTTTTGGTGGCTTCTGGTAGCTGTTGCTCGCTTCTGTTGGTTTTTGCTGGCTTTTGTTGGCTTTTGGTGACTTGTGTTGACTTTCGAAGGCTTCTGTTGGCTTTTGTTGCTTTTTGCTTTTGTGGCTGTTCGCTATCCTTGCTTTGCTTATGTGATGCAGGAAGGAAGAAAGGAAGGAGGGAAGGAAGGAAGGAAGGAAGGGAAGGGAAGGAAAGAAGGCAGCAAGAAAGGAAGGAAGGAAAGAAGGTGAGCACTTGCAGGTGGCCAGCTTGCGGAGAAACAACTATCATTTTGGAGACACGAGCCTGAGGGAAGGCGCCCACAACAGGACCAGAAAAAAATTCCCCAAAAAAAACGGGAAAAAAAAACCTTTTAAAAAAACGCGGCCTCCGATAGGTCACCAATAGAGACCTGAGACAGGGTCCAACAACCCTCAACTAACAGCCTGGCCAGGAGGGTGCTGGTACAGGTCATATTGATACCTTCCGCGCGGTTCTTGCGTCGAACAAACCGGATCTCGGATGGACTCGGAGGGCTCGGGCGGGAACGGGCCTTTCTTCCCTCGCTCGCCTGCGGGTCGGAGCGCGGGAACCGCGGCTTCCACACAAGAGACGCTGGAGTTAGACCGAAAGAAACAAGAGAGGTGGAGCAGACCTGAACGACTAGCACCCTGGGAAAGGTGGTACATATGGGATGGGCGTAAAAAAGGCTGTGAAAAACCTCTCTCTGGAAAGTGCTACTTATGACTCTAGACTCTAGACTCTTGATGAATTTAAATACACCCCCATGATCCCCTATCAAGAGGTTGTTGAATCCAAATACGGGGGGATTAGTCAACATTCTGCAGTCATTGCCCTTGACAGAGGGTCCTTGACTTTTGCAGCTGCTCAGCTGCAACATGCACAAGTTCACGAACCAAAAAAAACAATTGGCCCAAAGCCAGAAAGTCAATGAACTGATCCTGGACTTTGCACATGCCGAAACACCAAACCAATAGGATTCCAACCATCATTGATTAAAACGGATTCAATGGTTTTCACCGAACAATCATTGTTTGACCGAGGATTTGACCCTACAAAACCCGGTCCCACCCTTGCTAACGTGTTCAAGGCTGGGCTTCCCAGAAGCCCGCAATGGAGGCTTAGATCACCGAGCAGGTGTGGTTTATAGACAAAGCTTAGATGCCGGACCATCCATCAAACCACCTCCCCAAAAAACGAGAAGTGGCCATGGCAAGAGCACCAACCACCCAGCAGGGATCCAGGGGTCCCCGGAGCAAAGAACCACAGTTCCGCCACCAGAACCGTTCCGCGACCTTTGTTCTCCTTGGCGTCTCCCTTCTCTCCTTTGCCCTTCTCACTCCTCAGTCGGATGGCAAGAGGGGTCGCTTGTTTGAACCAGGTGAGAAAAAGAGGATCAGCAGCTCAAACATGCACAGGTTGGCATGACGCTGGCTATATTCCACACTGTTGATTAAGTTGAAAAGTTGAATCTTTCCCGAAATCGCACAGCTTCCATACCACCGAAACCCTGCCAAAGAGTGGCTGCTGGCTGCAGCACAGCGGGACGGGTCTCCCAGAGGTCGTTCTTCAGTGGGAAAACGTTCATCTAAGATTAAAATCATCTGAAACCACCTCAAGATATATTAAGGAGTTTTGAATGGTTTTGAATGTCGTACGATGCTCTGGACGAAGCTTCGGCCTGAAAAACGCAGCAGTTTGCCCATAGATCTCCGAAACCGGCACCGACAGTCGTTGAATGTCTTTTAGACGAGGGACACAAACAAAATACCGACCTTGTGGCACCTACTCTCAATCTATAGAATTGGTGACTTTTTTGGCTCAATTTCAAACTGCCCCCTCCCCTTTTCATTATATATTCATATCTTTTTGTCTGGCATCACCGGCAGGCCATCGGCAGCCAAGACAATCCATCGCAATCCCACTCCAACCACCTGAAAACCCTCTCCAGCTGGGAACTCCAAACCCTTTCCAGTTCTTGCCGGACTTCCCCTGGCGGTTTCAGACTTCAAGACCCATCTTAGCAAGGTGAGGCAAAGGTCCAACGGAATCCAACATGATTCGCTTTGACTCTTGAAAAGGAGCCACGAAGACTCTTTGGACAAATGCCGCAAAAGACCTGCGCATTCCCGGGCTTGGGAGCTCTAAACAGCTCCCGAGAAACAGCTCCCGAAAATGGATAGCAGGAGTTATAGATAGGCCATCCGCCCATCGTCACCGGAACGACGCCCTCCTGATTCGGCGGACGAACTTCTTCCAACTTGGTGGACTTTTTGGTCTCAATGCGAGCTCAGCCTGATCGAGGACGGATGTTCATAATGTTCATATCGGAAATTATGACGGTTAACATCAAGAACATCCCCGTGTCATCCGGATTCCGCATTGCGCATGTCTTAGAATTCCCGGAAATGTTCACCGGTTCTGGAGGAAGAGAGTCACAGTCCGTCTTCCTTCACCAAACATGGCTACATGGTCCATGGCTACACCATATATATATAATACATTCTATGTTCCTCTTACTTCTCACAGTCCTGTTTCCATTTTTGGGCCCAAGGGGTTGAAACAATCTTCACCGCTTCGTTTTCACCGCTCACCGCGGTCATCGGCCGCCGAGTGCCAAACCGCGCGCCTCGCGACTGTCAGAGGCCTCAACGACCGGAGGTTCCAACAAACGTGGAGCCCTCCATGAAAGGACCTTTGTGCTTCTTGGGGAAACTCGAAAAACAAAACACATCGGGAAGGACTTGGATGAAAGGAGCTGATGATCAAAAGTACCTGCCATTTGGCTCGAAGATAGGGAAGGACCCTTCAAAAATTTAGACTCCAGAGAGGGATGTGCCATGATGGTTCATATCTTGGGGTATATCTTCTTTTTGTTGGTCCCAATTGAAGATATATACCAAATTGTTATCTCTATACCAGGCTTGTTTCTGCCAAGGTGGGGTCAAGAATTCTCAGGAACACCTGCCGGAATGATATAGAAAGTGGTGCATGTTGAGATCGGCCAGTTTGGATGGTGCAGCTGGGCACAAATCGGCCGTTTTGGCCCATGCTGCCCAGGCTTGAGTGGCAGGAACGGGACTTGTTCGGAGAGCATGGACCCGAACGACTTGCATAAGGCGGAGTGTCCGGCTTGTCAATGTATACAGTATTATACTTGGTCTTTGTTGCATCACGTTACTGACCGTGCCTCTCAACTAGAACCGCCTCTCTGTCCAAAGCATGCCCGGGATTCAAGGTCAAAACACTTTCCTACCCAGCTGCAGCTCCCCTTTTTTCTGACCAAAATGAGCTTGATATCATATTCAAAAAAGAAAACGACTGTTTACCTGGAACCAGGGAAAGCCATTACAGTGTGTGGCGCCTGGCTCCTATGACCCCCCTCAATGTCCCTGCAAAATAAAGGTGAACAGATTGTCAACCTGTTCTTGTTGAATCCAACCCTGAGAAAAGGTTGAAGAGTATCCACTTTTCCTGGGTTTAGGTGGTGTTCTTCCATCAATTCCTTGAAGTTTTAGAGTTGCGACCCAAGGTTTTGATTTCTCATCTTCGGTGCCGAAGGAGTCATTTCTAAGAAAGATGGTCTTCCCTCATCAACTGATTTATATATAGTTTATACAGCCACGCATGTGTCTTCTTAATTGGTGTTGCTTGATTTGCAAATCGGATATGTCGAGTCTGTTGATTGTCATGTTTAGTATAGTAAAGAAGGAATATCGCAGTAAGCAAGTACTATTAAACTCCAAACCCAAGCATCACAAAGTTCACAACAAGCTTTGAACAATCACCCATGCAAGCTCAAAATCATGAAACCGCAAGTTGCCACAAAAACTTCCCCATTTATCAGTCGATCAGTCGTTCACACCCCATTTCAGAGTAGCAAGGCTCGGCTGGGCCACCGCCTGGCCTCTTTTGGAGGGCAAAAAAACCTGACTGACTCCCTCATAAAGGTGAACCGTGAAGCAAACTGTCCACCTGTTCAATCTGTAGTGGGATGTCACCCGTCCGCCAGGGCTGCCCCTGACGCCACGTCCAGGCTGCCCGGCGCCCCGGACGGCACCTGGGACGGCCCAGTCGCCAAGCGGTTCGGGGCTCAAGCGAGGCTGAGAGGTCTACAAGCAGTAACAACATGATATATAAGTTAATTGTAATACAACGACTGCAACTACTGCTACCACTACTGCTACTGCTACTGCTACTGCTGCTGCTGCTGCTCCTACTACTACTACTACTACTACTACTACTACTACTACAAGCAGTTCCCGGGCAAGCCGGCGGCGGAAGTTTCCTATAAGAACACATTGACCTATAGGAGTGTCCACGTTCTCTCCACCATGCGTGTCCCTCGTGTCACTCACTGAGCCAAACGCATGCGCTCCGGACTGTTGACACGCACACACACAGCGCCACCTGTGCAAGGTCTGTGCTCCCTGCAGGATCAGCGCACTGGGTTGTGTCTATGCCAAAGCAAGATCACCAGCCCACACCGGCGTGCTGAAGCAACTGGGCATCTGCAATTGAAAGTTAAATGCAGCTGCTGCGGGCACGCGAAGTGGGTGGTGTTTTCAAAGTCAAAACCATTTCTTCCAACATTTGGTGTGCTCCTCCGTGCACAAGCTTGCCTTTCGTCTCATGCCTTCATTCCATGCCTACAGCGCAACACGCATCTACAGCGTCCCCAGCGAGAGATACGTCAGCAGTGAGAGACGACCCAGCCGCAAGAGATGACCCTGCAGCGAGAGATGGCTCAGCAGCGAGACATGACTCTGCACTGAGACATGACTCAGCAGTGCGACAGGACTCAGGAGCGAGAGATGACTCAGCAGCGAGAGATGCCTCATCCGTATACTAAACTTGTACTACAAAGTCGCCAGTTCTCAGCTTCCAGCTCGCCACATACTCCGCGTACTAAAGTTGTACTACAAATTCGCCAGTTCTCAGCTTCCAGCTCTACAGATTGCTCCGCGTACTAAAGTTGTACTACACAGTCGCCAGTTCTCAGCTTCCAGCTCTACAGATTGCTCCGCGTACTACAGTTGCACTAGAAAGTCGCCAGTTCTCAGCTTCCAGCTCTACAGATT